TAAACGTACAGACACACACACACACACACACACACACACACACACACACACACACACACACACAATCTGCGTTTTATAATAAGTAAGATTATATTCTGGATTATATTCTGGATTATATCATTCCTAATATATATCTGTATCTCTGAGATGTGGATTATGATTTATTTACATTATTCGGACTGTTATGCTCATCTTCATTGCCATATTCACAACGTTTCGGCCGTTGTATGCTTCCGCCTTCTTCATGTAATTGGAATTTTGAACCCTTTTATTTCGTCCACCGAGGTAAATATCTCAGTTATTTATTTATTTATTTTTTTGTTCACCACTGCTCACAGTTTTGGGGTCTAGTTACTAGATCTAACCAGCCCCTTTATCCCCTCGGCCATGATGTCCTTGAAAAGGAAATCTGTTTATGAATTTCCGGGACTTATAAACCTAATGTCCCAGCACACATTTTTTTTACCGGTGCTCATATTGCAATTTTTCTGTTATTATTATGATTGCATGTTTTTTTTAACAGAGCTTATATTGCAATTTTGTGTTGTTATTCATTGCTTTTCTCTAGCACTCCTTATTACTGGTTCCCATATTGTATTCATTTCTATGTTTGGTCAGCTCAGGAGATTTTTGGGCTTAGCATATGTGCTGATTCCGCAAGTTTTTGTATTTTCCAGTGGTGTTCTCTGTTTATATTTCAACCTCATCCCACAGGAGGCAGTTATTGAGTTCATTTAAATTCTGTATTCTTTTTACGTAACTCGGCAAAGTGTTCTATTAATTCGGGTATATTTTGGCAAATATCTGCTATAAAAATTGGATAACACTAAAAACGATTCCACTTTTGTATTTGTAGATGTAAACACTTCCGATATTTTCTTTACCAAATGTGTGTCTGGTGAAATTCCGTGTTTAGAAATCTGGAATCCCAGATATGCTATTGTGTCGCAATTTAATACCCATTTATCCTTCTTTACGATCATCCTACCATTTTTTCAATTTGATTAGAACATAATCCGTTTTTTTTTGTTTTAAACCTTCTTTACTGGAAACACCGATGCATATATCATCTTGATAAATGATCATATTCTTAACATCACCAATTAATACATTTTAAATTGTTTTCTGAAAAAATAGCACTTGTTCTTTTCACCCCATATGCTTACACTGCCTTCTGCTTTATAAAAGTTTAAAGTAATTTAAAACACAGAAAGATTTTTATATATAAACAATTTAAAAAATTAAGTCCGGATATTAACGTTATTCACTACTTTTTAATTGACTTCTAAATCTCTTTTTAAGAAAGCTATTTTAATGAGCTGAGTTTTGAAAAGATTATTGAGATAAAGTTTGCCACAAAAACTATTGCTATATCAAAACAGAAAGCATATTTTGAGGTTATCAAAATCATAACTGTTTAAGAAACCAAAAACGAGCAACACCGTCTATAAACACGTGTATTTTACGGAGGCGGAATGCAATTTATTGACACCGGAAGTGCCGCAAAATACATGCAAACAAAATAATGTTATCGAGCACTTTTTCTTTTCTTAAATATCTGCGATACTCACACGTCCTTAGCCACGAAAGATAATGCCAAAGATCCACAGAAACCACAGATAGTTTGAATGCTATAAAAGCGCACTATTTTCTTATACAATCATACAAGTTTAATTCATAAATAAGGCCCAATTAATAATAAAACGGAATAATTAAAACAGTTGTTAATCGTAGTAACTTCTTTAAATTTGTTGTCAATTTGTATCTGGTAAGATGATTTGGGGTGAATAGCAGTTTCGATGTTAGGAATTGGAAACAAATCGAGGCATATGTTGTGGTTTACTCCTATTTTGTAATCCCCACATATTCTTAAATCGCCATCCAGTTTTCGTAAAACACCAAGGGGTTACAATATTAAAATAATTTTGTTTAAATCAATTGAGGTTCAGTTATTACCGCCAGCTGGAACAAGCTATAAAACTCCTTGATCCACCATTGTTTTTAGTTTAGCAGCTACTAAACTTAGAATATAAATGCGAAGTCTATGAAAATCAAAGTAAGAGGGATAACGGTATTCTGTTGATTAATTGTTCACTTCGTACCATTTTAACATTCCTGTTTCAGTTCTTTCAGATTTGATACTTGATTAATGTGAATGTAGTAACTTTTAAGACATCTATTTCCAAGGGTCCATGACAGTTTTTGGATTCCTCTATCGTAATGGGAATAATGCCGAAGCGGTTGTTAGTCTCAAAAATGACTTTAAAACAACCTAACGTTTTGATGGAAGAGCCATCGAACTTAGTTTCAAATAACTTTTCTGTAATTTGGGGTTTGCCCATTCGTTCACAGTAATTTATTGGGATTCGGGTGACATCGTTAACAGTATCTACTTGCAAAGAAAATCTATACCATTTAATTTTATCACTGGAATTTTTCTCTATAGTCCTTTGTATCTCGTATAAAAATCTTTATTTTTCTGAGATTGTTTTAATTTTCCCCCCACTCTTTTCGTTTTCGTTTTATATTTGGAAACGGACTGGAAATTATTTTTCTTCTCACAATTCCAGAATATTTGTCCTAAAGCCGGACATTTTTTTCTTGTTCTGGTCAAGCACTTTATTGCAGTATTTGCATCGTATAAAGTAATTCGATAAGCTGTATGCTTCCGCATTGCTCGTAGTTTAATTCTAATTGTTGCAGACACTCTACACATACATCTAAAGACATTTTACTCAATTGTAATTGTTCTAGAATTTTGTTTTTATAGTCGATCTGAGAGATATTTTAAATGGACATAGGAACACCAGGAACAGTGTAGTCATTAATCAGGATTTATATTTTCTACTACATTTAGTTTTTGCAAATAAAATTTACTTCCTGTTACACTGAATTTCTATTTGTGCTTATGTAGACCTGGGGTAGAGTCTTTTACACTGAAGGAATGGCCACCAGGAAGAAAAGGTCGAGGAAAAATGGTCTGAAGCAAACCATCCATTCTTAAACTGATCTGAAACGATTTCAGATGATACACAAAGGTTTTCTGACATTTTCCAACCACCGTCTGCAATCCTTTAAAACTGAATTCTGGACTCGCATTTTTTTATAAAGAGTTTACTCGTCTGACTCCTAACAAAAATGTCCCTAAATGCTAAATTATTCATCCCTCGTAGCTACCCATTTACTAAGGCTCCCAGACCGAGGAAATTAGGCAACTCCCCCCTCACTTTCACGACGTACACGGGTGTAATATTCCTTATCTTGGATTGATTGAAAATAGTAGAATACATCAGTTTCCGTGTTTTATTTCTCCCTATGAAAGGCAACAAAGTCACTAAGATGCAAGGTTTACTGAATGAAAAAGAGAGGTTAAAAAAAGATCAGGAAGATGACGATGGAAATTGCATTTAAATTTTTATAGATCGTAGTTGACAGGTTTGGTTTGGTTTGGTTTGTTTAACGGCACATCAATTCCTTATAAGGTCATTTAATCTCGAATCTTGGTATATTTTTTTTTTACTTTAATATCTGTTGCTGGAAACTTTTACTATAAAAATGTATTTTTATACTTTAATAGTCTTTTGACCCCAGTTTGAAAGGTTTCCCTATTTGCCTATAGCTGGGACCCTAACAGGTGCTACCACCCGGGTCAGGGTAAACCTGGGAACAATATCAAATAAGAGGTGGTCCCACGCTCCTCGAAACTTCCTGATCAGAGACCTTGCTGCCGGATGTAGTTTATCGTCATAACCAGGACGCCAGCTAAGACCCACCACATAGACTGGGACGAATAATCGCCATTCCCTTTGTATTCCATTAGTAAGAAAGAAGTTCCACTCAAACAGCTTCTTCCCCAAGAATCACTAATTCTATGAACCTCTACAATTCAAAGAATCAATCATTATCTTTCTGACATATTCTCATGATCGGCACTTCTGTTGAGGACCGTGTCGGTGATGTTGTTGAATAGACGTTGAAGAACACATGTGGGTTCAGATTTTCCTGCTAGCCGACCCAACTACATGAGAAATGTTGGATTTTAATTAAGTCCAAAGAAGAAGGCAAAGAAAAAAAAAACACAAGACCGATAATATATGTATACAAATATATATATCAATAACAAGTTACATGGAAACAGTTACAAGGGACAAAGTGTGTGTGTGAATATTAAATATGTTCGTGTGTGTGTGTGTGTATTGTGCTTAGCGTGTTCCCAGCATTTGGGAAACGCTATCTCTGGTGAGCGTTCACATCTTCGAGGTAATAAAGCTGAAAGCCCCAGGAAAAAGAGAGATTTACCTCCAGGTGTCAGCCCAAAGGCCTGAGGGGAAAAAGAGAAAGAGGCGAAGGGTCAGCGACTATTTATAGCCAGGGAAGAGAGACCCCCTGGTGAAAGGGTTAACGAACTAAAGTAGGAGTTAACTCCGACATTTCTTTCCTCCTCCTCTTACGTTCATATAATAATCTTATTCATACTCCCGAGAGGATGCTTCCCTGGTCGCTACAATCTTAACCTCTTCAAGTCTAGGGCCAGCCGTTATATTTCCTACATATCCTCATAATATGCAATTCTTATATCCTCGTCTTACGTTCATACAACAACCTCATTGATACTCCTGAGAGGATGCTTCCCTTGTCGCTACAATCTTAACCTCTTCAAGTCTAGGGCCAGCCGTTATATTTCCTACATATCCTCATAATATGCAATTCTTATATCCTCGTCTTAAGTTCATACAACAACCTCATTGATACTCCCGAGAGGATGCTTCTCTTGTCGCTACAATCTTAATTTTTTTAAGTCTACCACATCCTCTTAAATTCATACTACAACCTCATTAAGTAACACTCTACTTTGAGTGACTTTTGAGCCTTGTTTTGCAAGATCAGTTAGTAAGAAAAACATAGGCTGGCTCGATACTCCCTATTGTAGACACCTGCTCAGAAACATTTGTGTTTCTTTAATATGCCCATAATTATGTTATTCTTTCATTTCTTGATAG